TTCATGTTTTGTATTTTTTTGTTATATTTTTTATGAACTTCAACATTAGTTTTGGATTTGAATTTGTGTTTTGTTTTTTGTAAAAACTATAACATGTTAGGAGCTGAAGTTTTTGTTTTTGATTAGAGGATGGATTGAGTTGGAAGAGATACCCATTGAGTTTGCAGAAATCAACACGCTACAACTAATTGAGTTACAAGGTTGTAAGGCCATACTCAACGCTTCTGCTGCAGAAATTCAACAAGAACAAGAAGACATCGGAAATGAACCTGTGCATGTTCGTATCCTATAATCATATTCAGGTGAGTATAATATTACATGAACTTCCCATAATTCGTTATAATTTATTAAAGCTGCACTCGTTAGACGTTAGATAAAAAAAAGCAAATTAAATTAGAAAAATAGTAGTACTGGTTAAAATGGTGTTAGATGTTGTTATTTTGTGTAGTTGTAGATGAATGTTCTCCGTTGAAGATTTAACGCGCTATGTGCTTAAGATTTTATAATGTTGGACGTATAGTTTTAGTTTGTATAAAGAAAAGACCCCAAAATATTTTAATTATATGACTTCATGATGATTCAGATGATGGTGACGACGACGACGACGTCGAAGATGATGATGATGATGACGACGACGAAGTAAAAGAAGAAAAAGCTGATGATAATGATGACTGAAGAATTGTTCAGATTTATCATGGATAGTACAAACTTAAATTCATTCATAGTTCATAATGTAAAAATAATGGATATCTGTTTTTACTTTCAAATAAGGAGATTGTTGAGTCTCCCACATTGGTTAAGGGATGGGGGACTTGGTCTCTTTATATGGCTTGGGCAATCCTCACCTCATGAGCTAACTTATGAAGTTGAGTTAGGTACTATTTTTGTATTTTTCTTACTCCTAACTCTTTATTATTACATGTTGTGTCATTTGCTTCTATTGCATTGTTGTTGCCACTGTTTGTTATTTTATTTTCATTGTTTCTTAAGCCGAGGGTCAATCAGAAACAGTTTCTCTACCTTCATAAGGTAGGAGTAAGGTCTGCATGCAGATACACATTACCCTTTCCAGAATTCACCTGTAGGATTATACTGAATTTGTTGTTTGGTCCAATATCCATATCTTTATCACGATATCAGAGACGGACTTATCCCAATTCTTTCCTTCTTTGTTTCACCGCTTTTTTAGGCGTGCATACACCCCTGATCCTAGATAAGAGAGGAGTTAGAAATTGAAGATAACTAAAAGTATTCCACCATGGAAGAGTAAATCATTAGAACTCTAGTAATTTTATATTCTACTAACTCTATAAATATCAGTTTGTTCTTTTCTGCAGATGACACACAAACGCTGAAGTTAAGCAAGAATTGAGAGCAAAATAGTACGACATTTTGCAAGCAATTCTTGTGTATTTCAAGTATGGGAACTTGGAGCTACATGAACCAGATAGAAGAATCAGTTCCAAGTATCTGTCTTTTACTCTAGTTCAAGTGTAATAGAGCTTTTGAGTTGTACCTTTCAGCTTTCTTTAGAAACATTTGTACTAGGTGTTTTGAGTTGTATTGTTCAAGTTATAGAGTTAACTTGAAGTTGTCGCAATAGCCTGGGGCTGGTTGCTATAAAGGGTTATAGGTAATCTTTAGGTTTACAAGAGTTTTGTAAACACTGTTTTGGCTCAGTGATTTAGTGGAATGTTAGGAAAAAATTCTACTAGGAAGTATGTTGTAATTTTTTTTACCTTTTGAGCCAGGTGTTTTTCATGTAAAAATAATTATGTTCTTTACTTTCTGCATTTATTATTCTATAACTGTAGTGTAAGAAACACGTAAAAGAACTAGGTCTTTCTATAATCTGTGCACGCAAAAAATTGGATACCACACAAATCATCCCTTATTATGTGGTTTTGAAGTATAAAACATCAACATACTTCAAAGCTTCATCTAAACAAGCTCAAGGTGTTCGGGATGTTACAATTTAATTTCTTAGAGCCCTTCTTACCCCTAAACATCATCATTTGATAAGGGGACAGACAGATGATGGCAGCAACAATCTCTTGAAACGACCTCGTTCTATGTTCTACTTTTGTTGTTTCCTTACTCTTTTACTCTCAAAATTAGAGCCTATATATTTACGGTACACGTGAATCCATAGTTTTTTCGTTAATTTTTTTTTGTATATATATTTAGCAAAATTGATGTACCATTATAGATTGACCCTCGTACTCCAAAAAAGTTGAATGATGCATAAGGTTGAATGTTGAATCATTTATCCAAAGAAGTATGGATCGATTCCCATTTAGTACTTTTTTCTTTTTGCTTTTTAAGTGGTGCTCTAAAAATCCTAAATATGAGGAGGAGCTCCGCAAGAATTCAAGATAAGTTTTACAAGGAAGAATTTTCTCACCTCATATGTCAAAAGGAAGGAAAAAAAGAAGGCCACACAATTCTACACTGATCAGTGTGATTGATAGAATTGTTCAGACTTATCATAGATATTTCAAATTTTAGTTTTGTTCATAATTCAATATGTAAAAATAATAGTTATCTTTTCACATATACTTTCAATTAAGGACAATTTCTCCTTAGCTTCTTTATCTTGCATCTTCATTTTCATTTGTTTTCATTGAACATGTAAGGGGAAAACCTCTGTTTTGCATATTGACAATAAATGTAATGAGAAAAGGGAAAACTATGGATTAACGATTCCAGATTGTTATAGAATTCATTATTGTATTTTTCATATGTAAATATACTTTGTTCTTCTTTTCTAACAGTACTACGAAATTACAGATCAACATTTGCAACTTAAGTCTTGAATCAGAAATAAATGAGAAAACTACACAAGCTACCTACTAAAATCAAAGTATTTACCCGTCTTTACCCATTGTTAAACTTATTATAATATATACCTTTTTAACTAAAACTAATTACCAGCCTACCCATCCCTAGTTTTGTTTAACCATCTGATAATCTTTCCTTCCATTTAAAAGATCCACAATCATGTAAATATCATCATAAACCTCTATCGACATTGCCAAGAGTACTACACCGTGATAATCTTCTTTTCAATTGATATTAGTCATTACCATAAAAAAATAATGATTGTAATTCAAATCTAGAAAAAATTGAAACTCCATATGAATGAGTTCTAAATGTCAAATCTGATTTTTTATTGTGTTTTACTGTTGAAATTCGTTAGTTATTGTTCTTTGATGTGTATTGTACCTTTGATCTGGTTTTCGGAGAATTATTGTACAAAAATTTAAATCCACCATTGAAGGACCTTGAAGCTTGAAACTCATAACTTGGTTTATTTGACTTTTGAATTGTTTTGATTCGATCTTGCATGGGTTTGTTTGGAAAGTTGATTGGAGGTTGTAGATAAAGCGCTAGTCAATTTGGTGGAAATTTTGTAGTAGATTTTAGAAATTTGGGTTGAAATATAGTTGAACTAGAGAAGAAGATGAATTGAAATTGTATACCCAAATAGTATACAAATATACCATTTTGGTATACATTTAATTCCAACATATACTACTACAGTATACAATATAATATAATAGTATATTATTATAATAATTTGGTCATTTTAAACTTTTTCATTGGGTCCATTTTTTTAACTTTTGGTTGAAATTGAGTTGAACTATCAAAGAAGACAGATTTGTACTATATAACAAAATGGTATATTGTATACTGTATTGGTATACAATAATTAATTCAAGAGTATATAATTTAACTACAATAGTATACTATTAATTTTTTTTAAAGATATGAACCAATTCTCTATATACCAAAATAACATATTATTTATTTTGGTTATTCAATAGTGTATAATTTATTGTGTTGAATTGACGAAGAAGAATTTGTACTGTATACCAAAATGATATATCACATACCATTTTTATAAAAAGAAAATAATAAAAAATAGTGAAAACAGTAAATGGAATTAGAAAAGGAACAAGAACTAAAGAAAAAAAAAGGAAAAAGGGAGTTAAATGAAATTAGAAAAGCAACAAGAAATAAAGAAAAAAAAATAAAGGAGTCAAAATTAAGTGTGAAATAAGTTATGGTAAAAATAACAATAATACGATTTGGACAAAAATAAATGAATAGGAAAAGAGAAAAAAGAAAACTATAAGAAGAAACCGAGAAAAAATAAAAGGAGAAAAGAAAGAAAAAAAGGAAAAAAAGAAGAAGCATAAAAATAAAAAAAGATTTCCCACAAAAACTAATATGGGTAGAAAATATAATTATTTTGATGGGTAAAAAAATAAATGGGTAAGTAAGGGTAAATTTTTGTGGGTAACTGTATCATTCACCCAAAAGATCCTAGTTGGTAAAAAATTATTTAGTTGCTCTTCTGTGATACTTACGCAAAGCAAGTGATTTTTATTTTTTCAATTTTTTTTACAAAATATTATTCCTTTCGGTCCACAATAAGTGATTATTTCACCTTCTATTTTGGTCCAAAATAAGTGTCCATTTATATAATTAAGAAGGAATTAATTTATTTTTTTAAAATTTGCCCTTATATAGTCAAGATAATACTCTCTCCGTTCCAATTTATGTGAACCTGTTTGACTGGGCACGAAGTTTTTTAAGAAAAAAATGAAGACTTTTAAAATTTGTAGTCCTAAACAAATCCAAATGGGGCCCAGAGTATTTGTGTGGTTATAAAAGCTTTTCATTAAGGGTAGAATTGTAACTTTAAGCTAAATTGTTATCAAATTTAGAAAGGGTTCATTTTTTTTGGAACAGACAAAAAAAATAGGTTTACATAAATTAGAATAGAAGAAGTAATTAATTAAAATTAATTTAATGAATATATGTTTTGAGTTCGTATTTACTTAATGGGTATATCAAAATCCAAAAGTAAAATGATCGGAGGAAGTATAATTTAGCAACTTTAGGTTGTAATAAAGTAAGAATTGGGTGATTATCCATAAAATTTCTAAGCCAACACGTGGAAAATAACAAACAATGAAAATAAATAAAAAGAAGATGCAAAAAATCTACACACTTCAGCTACCGGACAAAACTCAACAATGGAGAGAGCAACACCTGTACGAAAGCCACCACACCTCCACCGTCCATTTGCTGACGTGGACGGAGGTCCCGCCGGAGAACAACTCCCCCTCTCCACTGCCGCCTCTGCAATGTCTCTCGCTCCGGCGATCGTTCTCCACCACCGGCGACCAATTCCCACAGTTTTCGACCGTAAATGTTTTGATTGTTACACAACAACAAGCTATTGATTCAAGCGAAGAGCATTATTTTTATTTTTTCCATTATTACTCAGTTCTGTCTCAATATTACACGTATTTGTTCTACCAATTATTGTCAATTGCTATCCTTGACTGGTGAGAGGATTGCTGGTCTGCTACAGGGGCTATAGTTATTTTTCTGAAAAAAATAAAAAAAACAATAGTGAGAACTTTTGAAAAATAAAAAGAGTATTCTGGAAATTTTTTTAATCACCCAGAAATGTCGAGGCTAGTGGCACATGATCGGGTTAATGAACCCGCCCCTTTAGCAATAGGCCACCATATTTGCTTGCAGAATCTTTTTTTTAATTATTATTTATTATTCGTCTTTTCCTCTTCTTGAGCCAAACCTAGGCAGAGATAAGGTCTGCATATACAATACCCTTCCAGATCCACTAGTGGGATTTTACTGGATCATTGATATTGTTATATTTATTTATTCAAGCCATAAACCCAGGGTATGCTGCCCTATGGTGGTGGGTTTTGGCCATCAAAATTTAGTGGCAGGTAACCAAGCAAGCTAATATGAATTTAGAGTTTCTGATTAACCAGCTACTCCCTCCATTTCGACTTTGATGATATAGTTTGACTTAACATATTCTTTTCTAATATTATTGTCGAGTCGAGGATCTCCCAAAAACAGCCTCTCTACCCCTCCAAGACAGGGATAAGGTCTGCGTATACTCTACGCTCCCCAGATCCAACTAGTGGGATTTTATTGGGTGGTAGTTGTTGTAGTTTGACTTGACACAAAGTTTAAGGGATAAAAAGATAACTTTTGTAAAATATGTGGTGCTAAAAGCTTAGGGTGCAAAAGTTTAGTGGGTCATGATATTTGTGTAGTTATAAAAGCTTGTGTAGAATGGAAAGTTTAAAGTTAAATTTATTTTTAAATATAGAAATGTATAATTCTTTTTGGAATACATTAATATGGAAAATGTGTCATTTAAATTAAAAAGAGAAAGTAATTATTGATTAAGCCAGTGATTGTCATCCGGTTTTTATAAAATCAAGTCTTTCTTTGTTTAATATAAAATTAACTTGGTGGTAATATGATTGCAGACACCATTTCAATCAGTCCAAGGTATGCCATCTTTCTTTGTCTTCCCACTTCTTTCTTTGACTTATTAATCTCTAATCTCCATTAAAACCAGCTAAGTGAATGTACTATATATAACCAACTTGATTTGTCTTTGTCTTCCCACTTCTTTCTTTGACTTATTAATCTCTAATCTCCATTAAAACCAGCTAAGTGAAAGTACTATATATAACCAACTTGATTTGTAATATACTAACACCCATGTGGTATAATATTGTATTTCCCTAATTGAAGTTGTCATCTCATCCAAATTAGTCAAATCTTTAGTTCTTGTTTGCAATTTACTTGGTAATTTGTTTGCACATACCATTTGAGGTATGCCTTTTTTATGTCTTCTGAGATCTTTTTCTTGGTTACTGTACTGTATGTTTTGTGCTTTATCCATTTGTTGATTGTTATTCATATTAAGTTTCTTATATATTTTTCTCCAAGTATTTCTTATATTAAGTTTTAGCTTTTTGCGCTACTACAAATCTAATTTTAGGATAGATCTAATTTTCTTCCTTTTTAAACTAGGGAAAAGTATACATCAAAGTTTGCAGTTCACCTCTTGAATAATAGTTTCAACTTTGCCTACCTGATATAAAGAGTTCATTTGTGGAACTTTAATGCTTTCTAATTCTATTTAAAGATATAATTTGACCAGAATTTTCAAGTAAAGTTCCCTTTCCAGATTTTGATGTTGGAAAATCCAAGGGTGCAATATGTTGGATTTTATAGAGATCTGATGTTCCAAGTTTAGCTCTTTTGACTTGCTGCAGTATTTTCTTCATACTGCTTTTTAATAAAACAAAAAAAAGCAGGGTGCAATATGTGGCAAGGTTTCCTTAGTATTTCTTTCATTACAAATACATACTATTCAATCCGTTTCAATCTATGTGACACACTTTCCTTATAAGTTCACTTCAAAAAGAATGACACTTTTTTATATTTAGCCACACAAATATTAACATGTTTATGACCACAAGTTTCAAAAGTCTTATAGCCACATAAATGTTATGATATGTTTAAGATTACAACAACAACAACGACCCAGTATAATCCCACAAGTGGGGTCTGGGGGATATGTTTAAGATTACAAGTTTCAAAAATCTCTTTTTCCTTAAATTCCGTGTTAAGTCAAACTATGTCGCATAAATTGAAACGGAGGGGGTAGTTGCTATCGATTTACTTTAGGAAGTAGCTTTCATCTCATAGCATCTCGCTTGTTATGGAAAATACTGTGTTGGTTAGGTCTTTAATGGGTAATGCCAGGCATGGTCAAAAAAGTTCCATTTGGCTGGACCTTAGTTGCTCCAGGAGCACTGATGTGGACCGTATGGAGAGAGTAATAGGATTGCTTTTGATAGAATTGAGAAGGATTTTGTACACTTGAGGAGTAGCCTTTTATCCCTTATTTCCTTTTGGCGCACCCACGTGATTCCTGTAGTTATAGAACATCATTCGTACAGAACCATAGTTTTTTGTGCATTGAGTGTGAAGGATAGTTTTAAGAGATTAATAACCTAGAAATATGGGTACCAGATCTAGTAAAGACTATTGTTTCACTTATCTTTAACCAAATTCTGAGGATTAGAGATCAAAGTTTATAAGTAGTGAAAAACCATGTTTAGTAACATTGATGACATGAAGATGAAATAGACGCAATGTTTTTTGAAGATACAAAAAACTCTCGATTTCTTTTTAAATGATCAAGTCGTAGAATCGATTGAGATTTGAGACAGTGATGGCTGAAAATCTACCCGATGTTCTCTCTGTTTTTGCCTTCCCTTTTGCAACTTTATTGATCATGTTATATATACCATTGACGTCCTAAATCTTGCAGCTTTCAGGTCATAATTGGAATAGAATAGATATGGCTTATGCTAGTATTGCTTCTCTTATGAGAATGATAGAACTACTCTTGACATCCAAGTCGCCAATGCAATCTCTAATTTGCGACCACAAAGAAGAATTTCTCACTCTTCAGAGAAAAGTTAGTTCCTTGGAAGTATTTCTCAAGAATTTTGAGAAAAGCAATGATACTGAGAAAATGGCATATTTGGAAGCGCAGATAAAAGACGTCACAAATGCTGTGGAACACACAATTCAACTGAGACTAACAGAAGCTGTAATGGCAAATGATGAAATGCATAAAGAAAAGGAACATAAGAGGCTTTTTAATAGCCTAAAACAAGTAGCAGAGGACATTGATCATGTCCAGAATGAGTCACCAAACATTCAAGATTATAATACGGTGAGCCATTATCAAAGGAAATGGTTGCTGGAAAAACTGACACAATATGATGGCTCGTCTGATCTCAAAGTCATCTCGATCATCGGGATGGGGGGCATCGGTAAAACGACTTTAGCAAAAGAAGTTTACGATTATGAATCAATTCGATTTCATTATGATGTTCGTGCCTGGACTACTGTATCTCAACAGTATAATGTAAAAGATATCCTGGAAAGCCTTCTGCATTCTACAATGGGTAGCCAATTTTACACAGATGATAAGTTAGAGCTAGCAGACAGGCTACGAAAAAGTTTAATGGGTAAGAGATATTTAATTGTCATGGATGACATGTGGAACAGTAACGCATGGGATGACGTGAGACATTGCTTTCCATGTTGCAACAATAGGAGTCGAATATTGTTGACTACCCGTAACAAAGAAGTAGCTTATTATGCTGGTACAGAGAATCTTTCTTTGCAGATGGACCTCATGGACCCAGATGAGAGTTGGAACCTTGCCAAAAGTATGGTGTTTGTAAATGAAGCATTACCATATGAGTTCGAGACTATTGGGAAGCAAATTATAGAGTATTGCACAGGGTTACCACTAGCTATTCTCGTGATTTCTGGGCTTCTCTCCAGATCTAAAAGGACAATAGAAGATTGGGAAAATATTGCTGAAGATGTCGTGTCATTTGTCACAAAAGATCCATATGAACGATATCGACATGTGCTTGGGTTGTGTTACAATCACTTAACCAGTGACCTAAAAGCATGCCTTCTGTATTTTGGGATTTTTCCAGAAGACACTGAGATTTCGGTGAAGAGTTTGGTGAGATTCTGGATGGCTGAGGGCTTCCTGAAGTCAGAAAAAGACGTGGAAAGAGAGGCTGAGAAGTGCTTACAAGATCTTCTCGACAGACATCTAGTTCTTGTCTGGAAGAAAAGGTTGGATGGCACAAAAATTAGATCATGTAAGGTTCATGATCTAATACATGAGCTGTGCTTGAGAGAATTAGCTCAAAGCCAAGACATTTTTGTCATGAAAGACATTGTTTTTGATAAATCATATGAAGATGATGATTTGGATGAAGGTGACGATTCTGGTGGAGATGGTGATTCAGATGCAAAAGAAGCTCAAAGCCATGCTTTTTCTCCAGAATGTCATAATCTCAGTACGCATAAAATGCATCCCTTTAAGCGATGGACTGATGATAGAATGTGTTTGGCCCTTCTTACCCCCGAACATGACCATATGATAAGCAGGCAGACAGATGATGATGATTACACTCTCTTGAAACGAACTCGTTCCATTTTCTCTTTTTGTCTTAATTCAACTTTTACTCTCAATTCAGAGCTTATTCATTTTAGTTTACTTAGAATCTTGGACTTGGGTACCACAAAGTTAAGAAGTTTCCCTCCACATGTACTATGTCTCATTTGGTTGAGGTTCCTAGCATTGTCCGGCTTCGGCGAGGATTTTTACGTACCTCCAGAAATTTACAGATTATGGAATCTGCAAACGCTCATTGTTAAATGGCGTTGTCCTAGATATGAGACTTTTACGGAGAAAATTTGGGAACTAATGCAATTAAGTCAGCTCAGACTACATAAATTTTATTTGTCAAATCCTCCAAGGGAATCTGATAACGAGGAGAGCTACTTGGCTTTTTCAAACATACATAGTATTTCTGGCTTGTCTCCAAGTAGTTGCACAAAGGAGGTTATTTCAGGGATTCGGAATGTTAAGAAGTTAGTAATCCATGGACATGCCAATGACTATGAAATCTTTCAAGAATCTAGACTTTTCGACAATCTTGTCCATCTACATCAACTTGAAACATTGAGTTTTGAATTTCGTAGGTGGGGCTCATCAGAAAACTGGCGGATTTCACCAGCGACTATTCCAAGTGCAAAAGCTTTTCCAGTAACACTCAGGAAGTTAAAGCTGAAGTCAACTTATGTAAGGTGGGAGGACTTGAACATCGTAGGTGAGTTGCCTAACCTTGAGGTGCTGAAGTTGATGTGGAAAGCTTGTATTGGCGAAGAATGGTATCCAATTGAAGGAGGATTTACTCGATTGAAGCTTTTGCTAATTGAGCATTGTGATCTCAAGTACTGGAAAGCCACAGATGACAATTTTCCTGTCCTTGAGCGCCTCTTGTTTAGACATTGCAGGTCCTTGGAAGAGATACCCATTGTCTTTGCATATATTGACTCACTACAACTAATTGAGTTAACCAACTGTACAACTGAACTCGAGGCTTCTGCTGTACGAATTCAAGAAGAACAAGAAGAACTTGGAATCAAACCCGTGGATGTTCGTATCTCATGTAAGTATAATACTGGTAGCCGTACCCGCGCAATGCGCGGTCAATATTAAAATCATTATTAAATTAACAGCTTGTTTGGATGGTTGTTACCCATTGTATTGTATCGTATTGTTACGTTAAATATGATGTTTGTTTTGATTGTTACTTAAATTTTATTGTATCGTATCGTTAAATCCGTCGTTACATAATGACGAAATGTGCCACTTTATGTAACGACAGATTTGGTGTGGTCGCATCGTTACCTTGTCTTTTTCTCTCAATCTCACCCTTCATTATTATTAAATAATTTTATTTTATCCTTTGTCATACCTTTTTATATAATAATTTTACCATGTATCATAATTTTTCTTTATAATATTGCAAGTTTATTCTTCATATTGTTGGTGTGTGATATCATGAAACAAATGGCAAACGACGTAATCTATCCAAACATTGTATTTATCAAACGATATAGTACAACACAATACAATACGATACGATATATTATGAAACGATATGTAACAACCACCCAAACAAGATGTAAAGGGACTTATACAGTCTTTGAATAATTTTTTTATTCTATATTTTTCTTTATTCTATTATCCAATGTTTAGTAATTTTACATTGTTAATAGAAATTTTTATTTAGCATATTACTTTGTTTAAATGTTTTGTCTGCTCTCTTTCTTTTTGTAATATTAGAGAAGATATATATATTTTAATAATCTTGGAATATTTTTTATTTTAAATATTATTATTATGTTGTTAATAATATTATCTGAATTTTAATGAATAAAATCTCTATTAAATTAAAGGGACTTATATAATCTTGGAATATTTTCTAGGCCGTCACTTGACTTAAGGAGAGGGTTTTTTCCTCTCCTTTTACTAATATATAGATTACTTTATTTAAATTTTTGTATGCTACTTTCTTCTCATAATATAATAGAAGATACGTATATTTTTATTTTTTTAGTTTATTATATTATTCTCAATAATATTTTCTGAATAAATAATCTTTTTATTTTAAAAATAAAAACAAAAAATCATTTTCAAAAACAAAGAAATTTTAAATTGGCATTTTTTATTATATGGTAATTTTAGTTTTTTATTTTAAAATAATTTATAAACTCTAACTTGAAACTACTCTCCAATTTGAATGGACAATTTTTTTAATATTTTTTTATTATAAAATATATTATTTTATAGATATTTAAATTCAAAAATAATAACCAATAACTAATTATTAACTAAATAACTAATTATTAACTACTTATTCCATGTGGCTTTTTTCTAAGCTGCCACTTTGCTTAAGGAGAGGATTTTTTCCTCTCCTTTTAATAATATATAGAATATAGATTATATTCCAGAATGAACTTTCCATAATTGCTTATGACACACATGTATTTATCACAAAGTTACTTAGGAGCTGGACTAGGCCATACTCCCAATCCCTAGTGAAGATTGAACAAACTCAATTCTGTAAAATGGTTTGGAAAATAGGATACTAAACAACATAGTTCTATGATGAGATTCCTCCTATTTAGAGAAAATAATCTACATCCTAAGGAACACCAAAAGAGTAAAAAAGAATTTCCTTAATAAACTTAAACTAGTTTGTATAATGTCCTTGCCGTTCTTTTGCTTGCTTTTTATCTTTTCTAAACTTTTCTATTCTTGATTAATACACATAACATTTGGATGACTCTATGCTTCATTTTGATTGCGTGAATAAAAAATATTGCAAATAATTAATAAAGGAGATGCCAAGTCATAGTTGTAAATATAATGACCAAACCCTCCCGAGCTTAATGATGTACTCCCGCCGTTTACTTTTACTTGTCATGTTTCAATTTTCGAGAGTTAAATTACATAAACTTAGACCAACATGTTTAACATGTATTCTTTTACCATATTGATATGAGAAAAATTATAAATTATAAAGTATTTTTTTGTATAGTTTCCAAATATCAAAATTTTAGTTTTAAAATATTAAGAAAATCTAACGCAATTTAGTTTTAAAAAATTAATCAAGTTGACTCTCGAAAAGCGAAATATGACAAATAAAAGTGAATTTGCTTGAACAAGCTCTAAATCTGTCTTTGGAAGCTTGTGCCTTGTCAAACTAGTACTGACCCTTTTATGTTTCTTTTCTACAGCACTAAAACCAGCGGCGGAGTCAATAAGTTCACTGGGTGCAAATAATTTCTGAAGGTCACCGGATTGGGTAAAACTTGAATTAACCGTGGTGCACTTGCAGAAAACTCCTTGCCAAGGGCCTATGCACCCCCGGGATTAGTCGGGGCTCGAAGAGACTCGGACACCCGGTGCAAATCAAAAAATAAAAACCCAGCGGCGGAGTCAATAAGTTCACTGGGTGCAAATAATTTCTGAAGGTCACCGGATTGGGTAAAACTTGAATTAACCGTGGTGCACTTGCAGAAAACTCCTTGCCAAGGGCCTATGCACCCCCGGGATTAGTCGGGGCTCGAAGAGACTCGGACACCCGGTGCAAATCAAAAAAAAAAAACCCAGCGGCGGAGTCAATAAGTTCAACAAGGGTTTGAACACCCTTTGCCAGTGGGCTATGCAAGGGTGTTCAAAGTCTATTTTTTAATCAATAACAAGTAATATTTTACTTTATACGTAGTATAATTTTTCGGCGAAAGGTGTTCAGTTGACCACCCTTGGGCCAACATAGCTTCGCCCCTGAGCAGTACAACCATCTTATTAAAGCGGGAGTTATTTCGATTCAGAGTGACATTCTGGTTTTATCACTGTTGTTGGAGGTAGTGTGATAATTCAGAGTGACATTAGCTAAGGTGTTTAAGAGCTGAAGGATTGACGTCCATTGTTCCAATTTACCATTACGTTACCAGGTTTTAGCAATACTATATGGCTTTCTCTTTTCGTCTTCTTGAGCCGAGGGCCTATTGGAAACAACCTCTCTATCCCTCGGGGTAAATGTAAGGTTTGCGTACACACTATCCTCCCCAGACCCCACTTATGAAATTTTACTGGATCATAGTAGTAGTAGTAGTTGTTGTTGTTATTGTATATGGCTTTTTCAAGGAGATGTTATTTCTCTAGATTGTAATAATGGGTCTAAGTTTTATATTACCATACTTTGAGTTTGTAGAATTGTTAGTGATATTACTAAACTTTTAAATATCTGTTATGTTCCTTAGCATCTATGATTGTAATTGGATTTAGAGATGGAAAAATATGTGTAAAATATAAACCTAACAGGTTGCTCACTAAGTCACTATAGTATTATCAAAGGCTCATTCAAGGCGTGCTTAAGCCCTAAAGCTTAGAAAAGCTCAGAGAGAGCGCTTCGCCTCGCTTAAGTTGCTCTTCAGTCTAAGGCAAGGCATTAAGAAATGCACCTCATTGCCCATGAGTTTTGTCGTAAATTAAGGGACACTAAACAACAAACATAATCAGAAAATAAGTGTATTAGCTATAAAGGAAACATTACGAATGAACTTGTTGTTTTATTCTTTAATATATGTATATATGTATCATTGCGCCTCTTTTTTACTAAAGCCCCCACTTTAAGTGCGATTTGCGCTTAAAGCTCCAACAACCTAGAGCGCTTTAAAGAGCTTTTCGCTTTTGACAACTCTGGCTCGCTACCTATTCCATCTGGGCATGTAATTAGAATTTTTTTCATGAAGGCATAATGGTTAACAGTTAACACGATCGCACTAATTTTAGTTGGTCAAGCCATTTCTTACAACTAGTTTTAGTATACGTGTGTGACACATGTTTATTACATTAATAAAAAATTTCTTAATAAATTATATTCTTCTTAAAATAATCCTTAGGGTAGAACTTGAGTAAAGAAACATAGATCGAGTAAAAATCATGAATTAAATATTAAATATTATGCAGCATACGTTGGATCCTATAATATTTAAAATAAAATTATATTTTAGGCACAAAAAAAATAGTTGGATCTTATAATAGTTAGACAATGTTATTTGTCTGTTTCTTTTCAATTTTGATTTTATATAAGTTATTAGGCCTTCATTGTCACTTTAATTATATGTTTATTCCTTCAGACCCGAACTCACAACCTATTGGTTGGAAGTGGAGGTTGCTTACCATTAAAAACACAAAGCATCTTAGCAAAATATCATTCACGTTTTTACCCTGTAAAAACAGATTTCAAATTGGACAAAATCGTAATATAGGCTACCTTCCTAATATTTAGGATTTCAAAATCAACTAAACTTCTGCTAATTAAATCGTTCCTTATTGAATATATTTTAATATTTAAGAATTTAAAATCAATTAAGATTTTACCTATATAAATTAATTTTTTATCTGAATCATGTAACATAATGCAAAACCTTTTCAAGTTACTAATCGTGAGAAGTAAGAATTCAAAGAATTGAAACTCTCCATCAGGGGCGGCCCGACGACTTTTGTGGCCTAAAGCCAAACTTCATGAGGGGCCTTAACTTTTTATTTTTTTTATTATTTATTTGAAGTCTATTTTTTAGTTTTTCTTAGATACAAAGTTATTAATGATTTTCTTATAGTCAATAACTCCTAATAAGTATTTCTCAACTAACAATATAGCTAATTCATTTAATCGCCTTTCTTGTGACATTGCTGTTCTTAGGTAAGATTTTATCAATTTTAGTTTTGAAAACTCCTTTCCGTTGAAGCAACGGTAACATGAGTTATTAACATTATTTCATAAGAAATTTAAGCATTTCAAAAAGAATTAAATTTTTTTATTTAATTAAATGTATCAATTACACTATTATCTTCTAATTGTGTTGTTTTCCTTAATAATTTTAATTCAGAAAATAAATTTAAACCATCAATATCAAATTGATTATTATGCTTTAAGAAACATTCAAGATTAAAGCAATATTTTTTCAAATTTCCAATATCTAGGGATCTTAGTTTTTACTACCAAATAGAAAATCAAAAATTTACTGGTATTGAGTGTAAGTAAAGAATTTACTTCTTTTTGAATTTTATACTATAAACAAAAGTTATCAGGTTGGAAGATTGTAAAGGAGCTACCACCAAATGATGTGATGCAGTGGATGAGACTGCTCTTCCCTTAACCAAAGGTCTCGAGTTCGAGCCCTGGGTATGAAAAAATCCTTGGTAGGGAGCGCTTCCCCCCGA